CCTTCTAATTCCCTTTGCAATTTTGAATCAGCAAGCCATTAAAATTAGTACATAATATTGAAGTGACATCTTCATGCTGTCCCATTTTGTAAAACCGATTAGAAATTAGGAACACAATTCGGCCAATTTGAAATTTGATTCACCCGGACTTGTCTGAATTTAGGCTACAGTGATATAAAGTGAAACAAACAAGATAAAATGAGATTAACTAATCGACCAGAAACAGTTGACCATTCCAGTACCCCCGAAAATATGGGGGAAAAAGGATGATGAGAAATAAAATAGGGTCAGAGAATATAAAATAAGAGTCAAATAGTATGAATTATCTGAAAAGTGTTTGATTCAAATTGAAGAGTTAATATAATTGATAAATTGGTGATGCTCTAGTCATAAATGTATCAACAATTTTCAAACAATGGAAAATTAACCGCTTATTTATAATTAATTCAAAAATAAATGTGTATTCTGGAAGGCAGTGGAATTTAATACAAAAAGTTCGTTAGATATTTCTGTTTGCTTCTTGTAATAAACATCATTCTATCAAACAAGTTTTTTGTAATGAACTGTTTCATAGTTCAATACAAAGAACTTGTTTGATTGAATTTCATCCAGTATGTACAGACCAGCTTCTTGTTAGAAAAGCATGCTGTCTGTTATTTGGGTGCTTTTGGAACGTTGGAAAAATACACTAATATAAATGTAGCTACTTATGATAAAATTACTTTTTATACTTCGCAGTAGGTCCAGAATGAATTAAAATTGTTAATAATAATATTCGAGAAGAAAACGTTACCGAAGTGAACGAATAATAATAAAGAATGATAAATTGATTCAATTTAACAGGTCATTAAGTCCGATTTTTTAAAGAGAATTTCCTCTTTTCCCTTATTTTTCACTGGTATTTAATAATCACTTTACTGAAAACCTTTAAAGAACCTGAATAATGCATGAAATGAAATATTGAAAAACTTGGAAATAAATGGGGTTTCAAAAGTCAAAAGTAACAATGCGGAAATTGAGCTCAAGGTTTGCATTGCAAGTTTCTTGCTAGCATTAGAAATCTTTTTTTAGCACAAGCTATAACAACAACCAAATTACCTTACTTATTACGCCCCGAAAATCTGGTAGAAATCAACCATGTATTAACATACTTTCTGATCTCGTTTATGATCTTAGATTAAAAATAATGACACTTTTATTAAAAAGTTCCGTAAACGATATGGATATTTTGGAAGATGTTCAAGATCAACTACGCTTTAGCTCTATACGAATACAGAGAGCCCACCGTATTCTCATAGGCAGTCAAATGTACACCATACACCATATATTAACTTCAACAGAAATGAAAAAAGGGCGTTTAAGGCAGCTAATAAATATTAAATAAACTAAAATCACAATTTTTTTTACATCGACTTTCATATTCACATATGTATTATCTACACAGTTATTCTTTGAATGTATGCATATCTGTTACCCAAGGAATCAATTGAACTAATAAAATGTGCACTAAAAATTACATTTCAATTACAGTAACAAAAAATTTGTTAATAAAAATTTTGCCCTTGCAATAATTAGTTCGGATTAGAGATGTTATAGGTACTGTATTTAAGTTCAAAAGAAGTCGAAATAGATTGTCAATTTTTTTGATAAATTTTGTAATTTAAAGAAATATGCAGTAGAAAATTATTATGCAAGTAATTCTGAAGAAATGTTTTCACAATTACTAAAAGCCGCCGAATTTCTATTTGCAATCTCATCTCACAATGCCAATGCGGAGAGGATATTTTCACTTATTGCTTATGGAGCAAAGAAAGAAAAAACCTGCTGTTATCGCCTGTGAAAGGAATACTTATGACTAAGTACTTATAATTTAAATAGATACCTATGAGCTGTTCAGAGTTTTACAAATTTGTGCTTGTTCCAGAAAATTTTACTCTGAGCTGTAGATAATGTACTATACAAAAGGTAAAGCACCCAAATAGTACTTGTGTTGCAACTACAACTACTGTTTACTTTATAAGTTTTGAGTGAGAATTAAAAATATATGTTTTGCTCTTGTTTTGATAGTAAGAGGAAAATGGTAACCATCAATCCGAAGTTACAGCGAAAATTGTTATTTTACTGAAAAACATTATGATGTTTGGATTTTTGGGCTGATTAACTTTTGGTCTAACAGACCCAAATTTGTAGAAACAAATACTAATAAAAAGACTTACCTTAGAACATAGGCGTCAATCTGTTCGTTTTTCACAAAACTAATGATTTCGCACCGAACTATCTTAAGAAGAGACTCCAGCTTCGATCTGTAATAAAGTTAGTTAAGTCTCTTGGATGTAAAAGTTAGTTAACCCTACTTTTAGAATTTTGACTAAAATGAGCATGGGGTTAAAGAAAAAAAATAAACACAGTCAGCTGATCTGGGACAGCTGACCCTTAGACCGCATGTATGCACTTGTTCAGTAGATACCGGGAAAATCAATGTTTTAACACTGACCGTTCACATTCTGAATTTTAACTAATGAGTGAAGACACATTCCGGCAAACCGTTACCGGCTTTTTCGTCCGACTACTAACCTGGGAATTTTGCGCAAATCTGATGCTTTTCCATTACAATCAGACGTTGTAAACCAGATTTCTAGCAGTTTTTCCACACCCTCAAAAAACTGGACGCCGTCACTCATAGTTTCATCAGAAGCCATAACGTTCAACACGGAAGTACGAAAATTTATGGATAAAAATGTTGCTGGCCCGGCTTTTTGTGGAGCCCGGCTCTTTGCGCGCGCAATTTTGCTTGGCGCAACTCATAACTTGGGATGCAAACCCGAATATTTTAATCGCGTTCATTGCATCCCAGATAAAACTAATCAGCCTAATGTTTTAAATAAAAATTGTCCAACAGTGGCGAAAGACAATGTTTTTTCTGAAAGGTCTTACGTAACAGTGAGGACATTGCAAAATCGCAATTTAATCATAGTAATTGAGAACAATTAAACAGATAAAAATTAGTTCAATTAATTTAAGCCCAGAAAAAATGCCTGACATACTTCAGCCTAAAAATTCGGTAAGTATT